TCAGACGCAGGGCAATAGCCAGAATCACCGCCAGGAGGAAGAGTACTGAGATCAGGGCCAAGGCCACCACCAGGTAAAACTGAAGCTCACTCTGGGGGTCAGATGGTAGAGGATCATCGCTGAGGTCTGGCAGGACCTCCTGTAGGCTGTCAGCGAAGATCAGGTGCAGAGTGGCTGTAGCCGAGAGCGGTGGCTGTCCACCATCTCGCACAGCGACCAGAAGGCGCTGCCGCGCTGAGTCCCTGTCTGCCAGGGCACGCGCTGTGCGCACCTCTCCTGTGCGCAGCCCCAGGCTGAAGAGCCCGGGATCGCTGGCCTGCAGCACATGGTAAGACAGCCAGGCATTGTGTCCCGAGTCTGCGTCCACCGCCACCACCTTGGTGACCAGATATCCAGGCTCGGCAGCGCGTGGCACCATGTCGAAGAGCGCAGAGCCGTCGGGCTCGAGCGTGGGATAGAGCACGCGTGGCGCGTTGTCGTTGCGGTCGCCCACCAGCACGCGCATGCTCACGTTGGCACTGAGCGCGGGCGATCCGTGGTCGCGCGCCTGCAGTGTCAGCTGGAAGGAGCGCAGCTGCTCGTGGTCGAAGGCGCGCTGCGCGTACACCACTCCACTGTCGTGGTTCACAGACACGAAGGACGACAGCGCCCTTGGCTCTAGGTCGCTGGCTATGATGGAATAGGAGATGAGGCCATTGGGTCCCAAATCCGGGTCCGAGGCGCTGACTTGAGCAATGGAGGCTCCAGGTGGGTTGTTCTCAGCAACGTGGACCAAGTAGGAGGCCTGGTGGAAAACCGGTGCATTGTCGTTGACGTCTGAGATATGGAGAGTGATGATTACGTTAGAAGAAAGCGGGGGCTTACCCCTGTCTGTAGCTACAATGGTGACGTTGTATTCTGGAATCTCTTCCCGGTCTAGAGTTCTGTCTGTCACTAGTTTGTAATAATTCTTCGAAGAAGATTTCAATACAAACTCTTCATTTCCCCAGACGTGGCAGTAGACGTCTCCATTTTCTCCGGAGTCTCTGTCTCTGGTTTTTATCAAGGCGATGACTGTTCCTAGTGGAGAGTCTTCTGGTAGGGGGGTAAATACTGAAGTCACAATTACTTCTGGCGCACAATCATTCTCATCCAGAATTTCCACTTGGATACTGCAATGGGATGCTAGGTCTCCGGGATCTTTTGCTTCTACATTCAGGGTGTAACTCTTAGCAGTCTCAAAATCCAAATTATCCTTTGTCGTGATTTCTCCTGTTCTCTTATCTAAGTTGAAAAAACGTTCCACCTGTTCATCCACATTGTGAAAAGAGTAGGTGATTTCTGCATTGACGCCCTCGTCCTGGTCAGTGGCTGTCACCTGAAGCACGGAGGAGCCTGGTGGCACATCCTCCCGAAGGGTGACCCTGAACACATCCTGGTTGAACACGGGCGGGTTGTCATTGGCGTCTGTGACTTGGATTCGGATCTGGGCGGTGCCAGTTAGGGGAGGATCCCCCCCATCCACAGCCGTGAGGATCAGTTCGTGAAAATTATGCTCTTCTCTGTCCAGAAAACGTTTTAGAATCAACTCAGGATATTTACGTCCATCTGGGGTCTCTTTTTCAGTGACTTCAAAATATTCATTGTCAGTGAGATAGTATTTTTGCAGCGAATTAGAACCAGCATCTAAGTCGAGGGCTGGATCCAATGGAAATGCTTTACCTGGTCTGGTGGACTCCCCAATGTTTAAATCAACCTCACTCTGTTTGAATAGAGGAGCATTGTCGTTCACATCCTGAAGAATTACAGCTACGTGGAAAATATTTAATGGCTTCTCAGCGACAATATCGAACTCCAAAACACACTGAGGCTGTTTCCCGCAAACCTGCTCTCTGTCTATTCGGTCACCCACAAGTAAGTCCCCACTCTCTGGATTTACAGTAAAATAATCCTTCTCTGCGCTGACTCTTAGCTTCCGGGCGGGCAGATTCTGGACACTGAGCCCCAGATCCTTTGCGAGGTTTCCTACCATCGAGTTCTTGGCCAGCTCCTCGGGAATGGAGTAGCGGATCTGATCCGGGAGAGCTCCGTGGAACAAAGGCAGCAGGAAGGGCGACAGTACCTGCAGCCACCGGGCCGGGCCGCTCCCAGAGTTCCTCCTCATCCTCCTGGCTCGCGCTGCTGCTGTGCTCTTGTGTTAGTGTGGGTGGCCAAATCTGCCTAGGGCCACTTTTCTTGCTGATGTTTGCTGTATCTGGATGTATACTGGCTCTCCTCTATGGTTGGTTTGTACAGGAAGTTACTCCCCCAGTCTCCTAACGCGTCTGGGAAAATGGTCTCTCTCTTCTTTTGACCTACAGCGACGCTCAGAGGTCTTCTCAGAAATTGCAACGAAGTCTAGCAAAGGTTTGAAGTTTTTTGTTTGTTTTTGGTTTGGTTGGCTTATTTTTTGTTTTTGTTTTTTGTGGTTGCTGTTGTTTTTAAATTTATGATGAGTTATTTATTTTAAAGAGGTAATATATTGAAATAGTTTCAAATTAAGAAGTTACATATAGTATAGGTTCTATACTATATGTAACCACCTATGAATCATGTAGCACGTTTCTCTCAAGTGGAGTGAGTTCTAGGCTTTTGTGTATGTTTTGGGTAGTGCGTCCCACATTTAAGTAAATGTTGTCTCTGCCCCTCCCTGTAATTAAACCAAAGCATTACACCATAAGCTTCTCCATCTCACTTCTTCCGCTCAGTCCATACACTCACATGTGCACTCCTTCTCTGGACTCTCATTAAAATATTTCATTTCACACCAGTACACAGGTCTCTGCCTTTATTCCTCATGTAGTGGTCTACCATATGAACAAACAGTATCTTGTGTTAGCCAATTATTATTTAAATAAACAGTATTATTAAGTAAACAGTAACTCATGATAGCAAGCTATTATTTACTGTTCTCCAAATGATTGACATATATTATTCCAGCAGAACATAATCTTAACACCAGTATCTGAGTGTGTTTTACCAAATTTTAGGCCAACTGAACACCTCTGAGTTATATTTTATCACCAGTGTTTGGAATAATGTATCCTCAGATAGACTGTCCCAGAATTTGCTTATTACCTCTTTCCTTGCCCAGGATCAGACTGTCACCATGTCTCTCATTCCTACCTACTCTGTGTATTGTACACAGCTTCACACCAATACAAAGCCACATAGAATCAACTCTCCTTGATACAATGGGCACTTTCAGAAACCCCATGCATTGTGTATAAATTTTCATTAATTCTGGATTAACTCACTTAGAACTACATGAAAACTTAGGAAATAAAAGTGTTGCATATCTCTGAGACACAAAATGCTTTGTGTAATGTCAGAGGATACTTTGTCTCATACCAGGTCACATAGTGGTAAACCTCCCAAGAAGACTTAGTAGAGATTTTGACAGATGGGAATGAGATCAACTGACTAAGCACTAACAATAATAACAGCCCAGAATCTAAGTCAGCCAACCATTGTAAGAGGTTTACCTGATGAAAACCAGAGAGACTTAAGCAAATTCTGTTTTGTTGGGACTCAGTGGTGATGTCATAATGGGGAATTTAGAAATTATGAAAATTACTATAACTTATTTATATGAATGAAATAAAATAGGCATTTTTTTGTAATAACCAAGTTGTAACAAAGGTATCAGATAGTCTGGTATACTTTGTATCAGCAACAATAAAATATTTGATCTGGGCATAGTGACACACACCTGTAATTCTAACACTTAAAGAGAACTGCAAACTGCAGGCCATCTTGGGTAGGCCTCATAGTGAGTTAAAGGCTAGCCTAAGCTACGCAGTCAGACCTTGAATAGAAAATTATTGGGAATACACAAGTTCATGGAGAAGTTAATGCTATAGCTAAAGGTTAAATATTTTTTTTACTACATATAAATTGTCATTGTACAACTATAATGGAAAAGAAACCCTTTCAAGGAAAGAGAAGTAAACTCCAAGCAAAGTTTATTAATGTAATAAAGGGAACTTAAAAAAAATTAGGCTATGGCTGGTAAAATGCCTCAGTGGCGAAAACCATTGGCCACTACACCTGCACTGCTGAATCTGATCCCTGGGATTCACATAGTGGAAGGAGAGAGCGGATTCCCCATGGTTGTCCCCCAACACACACACACACACACACACACACACAGAGTAAAACTGTAGTATTTTAAGTATTATGATGTTTTAAACTATCCAGCCTAGATTCCACATTAGTATCACGAGAAGGTGATGTAAATAGACAATTGTGCAATCGCCTTCTATTCACATGTCAATTCTAGCCGGTCATCAGTGTATTCAGGAAAATGACATTTAAAAAGAAAATGGTTTAAAATTAAGGAATTCTTACCAAAATCACTACCAAATGAAAAATGTGAAGGATAAGCAAATAAATATCATGGTTTGAGGTGTAATTCATTGTATAATTACAAGAAGGCTTGCCCAATATGCTCAAACTCTGCAATCCACTTCAATCATTACAAAAAAAAGAAAATAAGGTTATTAATCAACAAATAACTGTGTGTAGTGACTGTCATTAATCACTATTCTTCTAAAGCAAGGGTCTATTAATAAAGAAATGCATATTTTTGATACAAAACACATACAACTGGAGGCACTTTACAAACCCTCATGTGTGTGTTTTAGAGAGGTTTAAAGATCCATTATAGGAGTAAGTCACTCACCTGCAGACTGGAGTCTCCTTTTATTTCAAGCAAGTCTTGAGATACCAGGAGAGGATCACTCTTCCCACAGCTCTCCTGGCTGATGAGTGTGTCTGCGTAGTTGGGCTGTGGGAAGATCAGGTGACTCTTCCCAGAGTCGGCTGTGAGCGAGACCTCATGAGAATAGGTCTGGAGGAAAGCATGTACGCCATCCACACCCACAAAATGTGACGTAGGCATGGATGACAACCCATTACCTGCAGCCTGAAGCAGGTGAGTTGAGTGCCAGCGACGGAGCCTGTGTACCAGCAGCACAATGACAAAGGCTAAGAAGACACAAGAGACCGCAGCCACAGCCACCACCAGGTACAATGTGATGTCTGAATCTTCCTGGTCAATGTGAGTTTTAATGTTGCCCAGATCCGCCAGGATGTCTGGAATGTTGTCTGACACAGCTATGGTGAGTGTGACTGTGGCAGAGAGAGGAGGCTGGCCATGGTCCTGCACGGTCACCACCAGGCTCTGCTTGAGAACATCTCTGTCCATCAGGGCCCGAGCAGTTCGTACCTCGCCCGTGTGCAGCCCCACCGAGAAGAGCCCTGGCTCACTGGCCTTGAGCAGGCGGTAGGACAGCCAGGCATTCTGTCCTGAATCTTTGTCTACTGCCACCACCTTGGTCACCAAGTATCCAGGTTCTGCAGAACGAGGTGTCAGCTCCACACCAGTAGAGCCATCAGTGGGGGTTGTGGGGTACAGGATTTCAGGTGTGTTGTCATTCTGGTCCAGCACAAACAAGCTCAGTGACACGTTGCTGCTGAGTGGAGGATTCCCACTGTCTCTGGCTGTCACCAGTAGCTTCAAGTCTTGAAACTGCTCATAATCAAAGGAACGAAGTGCATAAAGGACACCAGTATTGGAGTTGATGGAGATGTAGGAGGACAGAGGTGCCCCCTGGATAGTATCTTCTGACAGGGAGTAGATTACCTGGGCATTTTCACTGCTGTCTGGGTCCTGGGCTGTTATGGATAAGATGGAAGCTCCTCTAGGGTTGTTTTCTGGAATGTAGGCAGAATAGGAGGCATGGGTGAAGGTGGGCGGGTTGTCATTAATGTCCACCACCTGCAGTGAGATATAAGTCTCTGTAGACAGTGGTGGAGTTCCCTGGTCGGTGGCAGTTATTGTAATGTTATAGTCAGAGACTTCTTCCCTGTCCAGAGTCCTGTGTATTAACAACCGATGATAATTTCCATAGGTCTTTTCCAGCCTGAATGGAAGATTATCTGGAATGGAACAAGTGACAAGACCATTCTCTTCAGAGTCACTGTCATGCACATTGAAGAGCGCAATCACTGTGCCTGGGGAAGAAGCTTCTTGGATAGAGCTGGTGAGGGAGGTGACTGTGACTTCCGGAGCATTGTCATTTACATCCAGAACTGTCACCAGTACCTTACTTCTGGCTCGAAGACCAGGCCCATCATGGGCTTCTACATCAACATCATAGAATCCAGAGTCTTCATAATCTAGTTCCCCCAACATTGTAATGTCCCCAGTCAGAGAATTCAGCTGGAAGAGCTGGGATATTTTGTCTCTTACGTTCCGGAAAGAATACGTCACTTCTCCGTTGGCTCCTTCATCCGGGTCAGTGGCTTTTATGGTAAGTAGCCGGGTGCCTACAGGCAAATTCTCCTTCACACTAATGTGGTACTCTGGCTGAGTGAATACAGGAGCATTGTCGTTGGTGTCCACGAGTGTTATTTGAATTGTGGCAGTACCAGAGCGAACCGGGTCGCCTCCGTCGAAGGCGGTGAGAACCAGGTGATGAAAGGCTTCCTCCTCGCGGTCTAAGGCATTTTCCAGCACTAGTTCCGGGTACTTAATCCCATCTGGCCCACTTTGCACATCCAGGGAGAAGTGGTCATTGGAGCTGAGCTGGTAACCCTGCAAGGCGTTCACCCCTATGTCCGGATCAAAAGCTTCAGGAAGAGGAAATCTTGTTCCAGGAATTTCACTTTCAGCGACTTTTATTTCCCGCTGCTGTGCTCCAAAGCTGGGGGCATTATCATTAACATCCATAATTTCCACTTCTACGGCTAGAATCCTCACTTTATCCTCTAGGAGGATCTCCAGATTTGCGGTACACTTTGGCGATCTGTCACAGAGCCCTTCCCTGTCTATCCTCCCTGCTGTCACCAAACTGCCGCTTCGCGGGTTCAGAGCAAAGAGCTGGGTCTTACCTCTGGAGACGATGCGGACTCCACGTTCTGCCAGTTTCCCAGGCTCCAGCCCCAGGTCCGCGGCGAGATTACCCACCGCAGAGCCCCTTTCCAGCTCCTCTGGCACAGAGTACCGGATCTGTTCCGCGCGGATGTCGCATAGGGATCCAAGGAAAACGCAGATCCAGATTAGTCCCCTGCGGTCTGATCCGTAAGGAGCCGCCATTGCAGTCCCGCAGCAGAGGGTCCTGAGCTTGGGTGTTGAGTCTGTGTAGGCCTGATGAACCCCACAATCTTTGGGTTTCAAGATAACGTACTTGTACCGTTGGACCCTGGTGCTCCTGGGAGTCCAGACTGCTGCTTTCTTTAAGATCATAACCTTCGTGTTCCGGAAATCCTGGTCTTACCTATTTTCACCCCTGAGTGGTGAACAGCGACACCCAGAGTACTAAACTGTTATTGCAACAATATTTTTGATAAAACACACACATTCTAAACCCACTTCTCTAAAGGAGAATAAAGGTCGAAACTGTGTTGTTTAATTTGCAACAAA